TTTGCTGTAGGTTACCATCAGATCTAATAATGCGCCATTCGTCCAACCGTATCCTTCCTGAAGAGACGTAAATCTCTCACAAGTCATTATTGCATCAGTTTTTAAATCACTTGAAAATCGTTTTAAAATTCTGTGAACTTTATGGAAAACGCGAGTTTCGTTACCACACTGCCTTGTTTTTTCTGTACCCTAGCTTCTGAAATCACGTCTTCTAAACATATCATTGTGATAATAACTTGAGGGTTAGCTGAATTTTTCTAGTGATCTTAAATAATTGAAACAGATGAAGTAAGTTTCATCATTCTGAAGAGGACATTTTGTCAAAAAAATTAAAAACCCCTCCTTGTACTCACTTTCAGTGAGCGAAAGAGACATTCAAGGGCATCTACCCGCTGGCGAGGCTGCCGATGGATTCCTCTTTCAAAGCCTTCTAGCAAGCAAAGTGTTGCAAATTTGACTCCTTAAAATATACCAGTACCAATTTGCCGTCAAAAACGAGTCGTGAATGGATTGGTTGTCTCACTGACGGAGTCAGACCTTCGACCTACTGCACGACAGCATTGTTATTCCGCTGCGCCATAGGTGTTTGTATCGGGCGCAGAAACACTTGCTTCAGAAATGCTGCTAACGCTGAAAACCGACCTGATTATCGTAATCGCCTCCTTTCGCTGTTCGAATGTAATCTTTGGCGACATCATATCTTTGCCATAATTTGTGATCGCTTTGATAAACGCGATAGTTTCGATTGATCCATCGATTTGCTAATTCGAATGCTTTTTGTTGCATGCTGCAACGAGTTAAGGCATGTTAAACTTATTCAAAATTTAACTTGTGGTCTTGCTCTGTAACAGTACTATAAAGCCGTAATTTATAGCAAAAACTGGTCATACACTGGATGATTGGATTTGCGCAAACCCTCGATAACCATGTGATTGATTGGAGCAAAGCCGTTCGGATAATCCCAAAGCTGATTCGAGCTCCTTATCAAACTGCAAACCAGTACTTTATTCAGGCAAATTTTATAGCCCGGTAGCTGTAAAAATTTGCTGTCCCCCAAAATAATTCCAAAAAAAATTTCTAATTCCAGATTTCTTCCTTCCCACACCTACATACTTCATTGCATTTCTCATGTTTTTTGTGTTAGCTACCATTAGCCACACGTACATGAAGGAGCAGCAGTTAAGCTGCTCCACCACATGTAGCGTGCTTCTTAAGAACATGCATTACATGCTTGGTCGTAAAACTATCGTCGTGATACTTTTCTATATAACGTCTACTGCTCATACTTCTCTACAAGTATACTTGTTAGCTGTCTTACCTCAGTTCTTAAACACTGTTTTATAATCAATTATTACAGCGCAAATCTTATTCTCCCAAATATAATTGGGCTTTCCTATCGGTCACCCCAACAAAGTCATTTGAACCATTCATATCATTCTAGCCTAACATTTTGATCTTTCCTGATTGGACTAAAAATTGCTGATTGACGATCAATATCAGTTTTTTTGGCGGGCTAAGTTCTATATAAACACGGATCCGTCCGCAGTCCCCAGTTTTTCCAACTCATCATCGTCATTGCCCCGACGTCTTCCCGATCACTTACCCGCCTGTCCCCTTCTACTGCGCAACATATGCATCTACAGTTCTACTCTCTACGATACTCTTTGCTCGTTTATTATTTCACACTTTCGCATGTTACTAGCTCAGCACTTTATGCCCTTTTCATAACAATAATTCGTATATTGCGATGATGCCACTTAAGGCCCTGACCTTATAATAGTGAATTCAGTCTTTTTCAGCCCCTGCCCAAAAAAACTCTTTGTCCCTTACATTCCAACGCAGGTTGTACTGGGATGCCTTTCCCGCATGTAACAACATGTGTCACACTGCATATCAATCATACTTCCTAACATGCGCAAATACCATTTTCTCTTACATGTGCCTATGGATGGGATTTAGAACATTTTCTTATTAAATCTGTTGCTCACTTCTCATCCCATCCCTCTTACCATTCTACATACGTTCATTTTACGTTAGATAGTTTCCCACCTCTCGACCACTAATGGTTTTGGGAGCTCCTCCACTGGTTACCGGTTGAAAGGTGCCAGAGAGGAAACTCTGGCGCCGCTTGGCTCTGGAGGGGTAATTTGGATATTGGTCATAGCCCGATAGGCAGTACTCCTGCCCAGCTGCACGGTTCTTAAAAGGGTTTATGCCTTTGGCCAGGCGCATTCCTTTTTGTTAAGGTCAGCAAACCAAAAAAAAATTATAGTGTAAACTAAGTTTTTTTATACGAGGGACCGCCACGGATGTCTTAGCTGAACAATCGGGTGGGCATGGCTTAAAGTACCTTTTCCACATTGATTTACATGGTCGCATTTCTAGAATTGCTGAAACATAATATTCGCTATTACACACATGCCTGCGGCGGCAATTGCATATGCTGCCGTATGATTCTTTCTGACGGATCGGTGCAATCTTCCGTCACCGGCTCCCGCTTCGTCCCTCTGTACAATTCCGATGATGTGCTTAGTTGCAAGAAAGCAAATATAATTTACGTAATTACGTACAGTGTCTGCGGTATACAAAACGTAGGTTAAACCAAACGAACTCTACAAACTCGGACAAGAGAACATAGATATAACGTTGCCCGCAAAACAAACACAGTCCTTTTCAATGACTACCAGTTGCCAGGGCATGGACCAGATTCCATGGGCACTGAAATCGTCGAATGTGTTGTCAGTTCTACTAGTGGCTTACTTCAACGAGAGAATTTCTGGATACATGCAATTAATACAGCTGATAAGCTTTTAGACTTAGCGGTTGCATCATGGCTTACGGCAGCATATCCGAAGGATTGCTTCCATTAATTATGGGCAAAAATCCATATTTCCAAGTACCGCTACCTCGAAAGCGCCGAAGACACGGAGCACGAAAGGATAAATTAGTTAACCAAGAAGTGTTATTTCGCGCTTACTTGTAACGTTGATACTCCCCAGGCTATTCGACTTCTACTTAATAAACTCTATAATTCGAACAACAGTACTCTTAGGATGCTCCGTCAGCGCGTTGCTACTGAAGTACTGCCTTTTGTAAAAACTTGCATTTTGCAAGGTTTCTTACTTTTCCGACTCAAAACCTCCTCCGCAGGTAGACATCGTGACAACACTTTCTATTTCACTATTTCTTATCCGGGAAACGCCTTCTTCCATTTCAGATTACGCTCCTTTTCCATGATATTACAGCAAAGCGTTTATTTCCCATATATCCTTTCCCCCGTATCACTGTCAGTTTCAAATATCAAATCCTATAAGCTGCTGCATTATGAACTATGCCACCTTTCTTAGACGTCTCAATGATAGACCAGTGGAACTTGCTAAATTACTTTTTTCACCTTGCTAATGCGCACACTTAGCTTTTCTGTATGAATCTGCCGGCACATTGTAACAGGTAATTTAGACATTATCTGTAACCTACAATTAAGGGATGTGATGAAGAAGGGTACCAAGTTCAGACCAGCTATTACTAAAAATGCAAATGAGGTTATATCTGATATCTCTAACGCTTTGGATACTTTCGGCTCTGTTGCGGCAAGTCGTTCCGGTACTATGATTCCTGAATACGAAAACTTCAAACATAGGATATTAGCTGTGGCACGGTAGCGAATTATTAACCGCTGCTATCCTTCTCCTCAAGTTAATATTGACTTTGATAGACACAAAGACATTACGTGAGACTCAAAGACATTTTGTCATAACGTCTGTCGACAGTGCTCCAAACAACTAATAGTTATATGCAAGAAGTACTATGCTTTGTTGCACTGCAATGAGCTCAGTTTCAACAGTCTTAACCACATTGGAGGAAATAGTGTTTGTAGGCCAGTTCCGCTCTCCGTCCAACAGCTGGTCCTCGACCACCTTAAAATTCTAGATAATTTTCAGCTTCATACTACCGTTGATGATACATCTATCCCTTTCATCTATGCTATATCAACAGAGCTTTATAAAAACTCTGTTGATACAGATTCATTGCAACGGCAAACAAACCATCTCTCCGAAGTCTCCCGATTACTCTGCACCGAATATAGTTCATTTAAAGAATCACTTTCGCAACTACTGTACGCAAACAGCTATAATCAGTAGATGGCCCCTTTACCTCAGCATTACCATTTCACTAACTGTGGTGCAAAAGCTGACCACACTAGGCAGTACGATCGAATATTTACATTCTGCAGATTTCAGCAACCTCTTCACTAGTCTGCCTCATTCTTATATTATTAATAATCTATTCTTCCTCGTTAAGCTCAGCTTCACCAATGCGGGAAAAGAATAGATTGGTTTAAGTAAAACCCAAACTTAGTACGCTAATGAATTCACAGGCAATGTCATATCTTATACTAAGGATGAAGTCAAGGCGATTCTTCGGGTTATTCTTCAAGAAACATACATATGTTTTAGTCGTTACGTCTTCAAGCAAGTCCAAGGTGTATCAATGGGCGGTAATGCTAATCCCTATATTGCCTGTCATGGAGTATCGGTTCCTTCGTAAGAACTCAGGTATTCATCTTCATCTCTTTCGATATATAGATGACATCTCTAATTGTTAATTGCGCCAACTTTACTGAAATTGCTAGTAACATCTACGGGCCCAGCCTACAACTCAACACCGCTTACTTTGAACAAAGGGTTTGTCTTCCAAACCTCGAAATTTTATGTTGCAAGAGTAGATGTATTTTCAGCGTATTACAATAAAACCTTGGACTACCCATTCACAGTAAATCACGGTGGCTCTCCAGATAGCGATATGGGCCAAACGGTGCAGGAAGGTGTCATTATGTCGCAACTGCATCGTTATGCACATATATGCACTCTTCCAGAGGGGTTCCATGATTGGGTTAGACGACTTATAAGTATCTATAGACATAAATAGTTTGATATTGCCAAAATAGAACACTCTGTTCTCAGATTCTGCTTCAGGAACCGCTCAGTACTTAGCAAATTCATCTACCCCAATGATTCAGGAAATAATGTCTAGTCAGCACGCTCTTCGCATAAAAAGTGTTTTCTTATGGCAACTACTAAAACTCGGCTCGGCACGGCTCGGCTCGGCTCGGCTCGGCTCGGCCGGTGCGTTTTGCGCCCCAGTGAGGTGCCTGCCATCTCTGGCAACACTATTTCGTATCGCCAGAGACAAGAAGCAGTTGGCGACGTGCCAGG